CCACTTAGTAATCACTCCTTCTTTAAGGTTCATTTAATCCATTTTTTTTTCACTCAATAGAAATTTTGGTATCTACTGATCCCTAGTACACTCTACTTTCTGTCTCAATGAGTTAATTCAGTGCTTTGTTCATAGTCATTCTCTCCTTCCCACCTTCTGCCCTCATACTAGAGGATATATATATATCATACTAGAGGATATATATATATATATATCATACTAGAGGATATATATATATCATACTAGAGGATATATATATATCATACTAGAGGATATATATATATATATCATACTAGAGGATATATATATATATCATACTAGAGGATATATATATATCATACTAGAGGATATATATATATCATACTAGAGGATATATATATATATATACATATATATATATTTGTGTGTGTATCAACTATACACAGAAATGATGATACCATCACCCACAACCATTGAGCTCTAAAATTCCTTTATCTGATCACAATCTTTTATCATTCCATCTTTTCCTTTGCTTTATGACTTCTAACCCTGTATTCATCCTCACCATAACTGCTAGTCTCTTCACCTCTCAGTTCTTTCCCAGACCATCACTCCTACATGGCTACACTCTGCTCCCTTCTCCACCTTGACCCCTTAGTGAATCGATTCAACTCTATACTATCCTCCACGCTTGAATCTCTGGCCGCCTTATCCTATCACTAATCATGCTCCTCTAAGCCACAACCTTGGATCACTGTCACCATCCACTGACTTTGCTGCTATTTAAATCCTGCTGAATAGAGCTGGAGAAAAGTCAAGAAATTGTGCTGACTGGATCTACTACAAAATTATGTTACACAATCTCAACTGGGCCCTCACTGAAGCAAGGCAATACTTTTACACCACCCTAATCAATTCACTATCCTACTCATCATAGTGACTTTTCCAAACTTTTTCATTCTTCCTCAAACTTCTCATGACTCCACCTGCCCCACCCTCTCAGTTAAGAACTTTGTCCTTCTTGCCTTCTCTGCAGCCTTTGACACTGTAGATCACCCTGTGCTCTAGGTTTTTCTGACACCGCTTTGCTGATTCTCCTCCTTCTTATACGCTTCTTCTCAGTCTCCTTTACTGGATTGTTATACCTGTTAACTATGGGTGTCCCCCAAAGCTCCATCCTGGGTCCTCTCCTCTTCTCTTTCTATGCTTTTTCTTTTGGTGATTTCATCATTTCCCATGGATTCCATTATCTCTATGCAGATTCTCAGATCTTTTTATCCATCCTGTCTTCTCCCCTTCAGTCTCACATCTCCAGCTTCCTGCTGGATACTCTGAACTTCACCTGTAGACATCTCACATTTAATATGTTCAAAACTGAATGCATTATCTGTCTCCCTAAACCATCCCTTCCTCTAAACTTCCCTATTACTGTCAAGGGCACCCAAGTCCCCTCTCAGTCACCCAAGCTCAAAACTTAGGTGGCATCTTCAACTCTTCACTCTCTTACTTTTCATATCCAATCTATTAAACCTTATTAAAAGTCATAACTATTAAACCTTTACAACATCTCTGTGTATGCCCCATTCTCTTCTCTGACCCTGACACCATCTTGGTGCAGAACTTTATCACCTCACTCCTAGACTACTGCAGTAGCCTACTGACTATAGTCTTCCTGCTTCAAGTCTCTCCATACTCTAGTTGATCCTTTATTTGGTGATCAAAGTGACTCCAAGTCCAGTACTCCACTGCTGTACCCAGCTACTCCAATTCTATTTACTTTATGCTGTCTTAGATTTCTCTTTTCCAAAGGACTCCTGGTTTCTTTGCTTCTCCTCTTTCCGCTAGTATCAGTGCTATACTGTTCCTGACATCCCAAGGCCTAGCACTGTGTATGGTTGGCTGCTCAGCACAAAGAATCAGTCTGTTTTGCAAAGCAGTAGAAGAAATGTTCATATGCAAACTGGTTTTCCAATCTCTCCCCTAATAGAAGTTTTATTTCACTAGTACCAAAGTATAATTTTTTTCTTTGCTTATGAAACTTTTTGAATGATTTTCAAGCTTGTATTAAAGTTTTAGTATTTTACTATTTTTATTTTTCTTTATTTATTGGGAGACATTGAGTATGTCTTTTAATAAGAGTACCCATGTTCTTATTGATTTTTTAAAGTACTTGGATCCTTTGGGGTTAAGGCAGTTTGAAGTAGATAATAGACAAGGAAGGCTACTTGCTTTTACTGTATAAGTTGATTTTGATTTTTTTTTCCTGGTTATTTGGATGGGTGGCATGGGTATTATAAATATCCTCTAATTCAATTCAAATTAGTTGACACCCTTCTTGGCCTCCATGCACTTAGGTCCCACAACCAACAACAAAAATTAATGGGTGCCTATGCATGCACGTAGAAGTTTGTTTTATTCTTGAATTTGATACCAAGAATACTGTGAAGTTTTTAAACACATGTGATTCCAATTTTATTTAAGCTTTATTTAGATTCTCTGGAGAAAAATAAAGAAACCCTTTCCCTAGTTTCCTTGCTTGCAACATTTATTAAGCAACGACAGGTTTCTAAGGTGCTGTGCTGGGCAATTTGTTTCAAACCTGCAATCTTAGATTTTCATAGCAATGGCCCATACCTTAACCAAAACATGCTATTTTGGTTCAGCTTCCCAACCCACACAGTATCTGCTTCCACAGATTTCTCTCCCGTCTCCACATCTGTAATCTTAGGCGTCAAAAAGAAAATAAAAAGTCAAAATCAGTTTGTCAAAGCAAGCATCCTTGTATTAAAATTTACTGATGCCTTCTGTTTTCCCCTAGAAAGAATCCTGGACCTGCGAGTCAGAAGATCTGGGCATTACCTTCCCACTACATAGTAGTGTGGTCTTGCATAATTTTCATCACTTTTCTGGGTCTCAATTTCCTCAACTGTAAAATGTGGGGAAAGGGAAACTAAGGTTCCTTCTGACTCTAATATTCCACACTAGGTTACCCAGAGAACAAAATAACAATACCAAAACACCAATTTTATTAAAATGATTTTGAGAGCTTACAAACAATAAGCTAGTAAGCAATTCTACCTTGACTCTAACAAAATAAAACCTGACTGGGAGGTGATGGGACCTCATCTGAATTTGCCTGGTCTCTCCTTCCCATTTGCTAATGAATATCTTGCCACAGATGGGCCATATCATCTTCCTAAAAAAAAAAAACGAATAGCCGGTTGTATGACTTACCCTTGAATACCTTACCAGGTATTTTAGATTTTCAGGTGTTTGATATTGTCAGTCTCATCATCATTCCCCTAATCATCCAGAATAAAACCTACAAGTCATCAATGACCATCCTCTCTTTCATCCTAAATATTCCAGTCATAAGCAACATCAACTCCAAAACTCTTCAGGATCTCCAGTAGATCCTCATTGTTTGTGGGAGTAAATCCAAACTCCTCAGGTGTCCATTCAAAGTTCCCCAAAGTTTGAGGTACTATTCTACCTTTTTAACCTAATCCCCCAGTATTTCCCTACACATATTTTCCTCTACAACCAGACTAAGCTCCTCACTTGTCTCTTAGCTCAGCCTACCTTGTTTTCCACTCTGTTTTGCTCATTCTGTTACTTTAGCTTAAGCTACCCTTCTCACTCCCATCTGCCTGTCTTGATCTTTTCCATCCTTCGGTGTTGATTTCATACACCACTACATATTCTCCATGAGGCCTTCCCTATCCACTCTAACCCAGACTGATCTCCTTTCTCTGACCCCTTAGAGCACTTAATGTCTGTAAATCACAGTTTATCATAGTTGCTTCATACCTTTACTTAATTATTCCATATGTGAATTCCTTTGCCTTCTAAGGTAGACTGTGAATTCCTGGAAGGAAAGAACTCCATCTTAGTGCCTCTGTGTGCCTAACCTGGTGCTATGTACATAATAGGAGCTTAATAAATATTTTCCATGTAGATATAAATCAAGTAGAGCCAGGCACTAGCCAGTCCGTTCCTGGGGACTGCTGGTTTTCATATTAAAAAACGGTCTTAGGGTGTGACTTGTGTGTAAAGGTATAAACAGGAAAATAGTTCTTCAATTTGATAAAGGATGGAATGTTAAGCCAAATTTATATCGGCTGTGTTTAGATTAAAGATTATTAGTGGTCATTGTTGTCATTGGCATTGCAACTAGTTGTTGGATATCCCTTGTAATATCCTGTTCTAGATATATGCAGAATGTCTCTAGGCACCACCTTTTTGCCAGATGTCAACTTTGTATCGTTGCTAGTTTAATTTTGGTCATTGGTTGGCATACTCTCTCTGACCATCAAGTTAATTATCACGACAAGGAGATTGAGTGTAAACACTTCTGTTAGGTTTGCATTGAATTTTTTAGAAAGAGAACACATTGTAGAGATATTAGTAACTGCTTTTTGGAGGATTTTAACTGATCATTTTAGTCAATTTGATACCATCCTTTTGGCACTAATGAGACCAGTAATGCTAAGACCACAAGCTGTAAGCTTTATAATTCTTTCTTCCAGGTCCAACAGATTTTCTGCCTCAGCAGAATAGCTGTACAGTTGGTTGCTCAGTATAGAGTAAATCATTGTGATTTCTTTAAATTTTCTCCCAATGGTGAGACATTTTTTTGTGTTATATGTGTTAAGCAAGCTTGATTAATCTTATGCTAGTGAAATGTAATATATCAGGTTTTATCACTAAAGTTATTAAGTAGAGTCATTGGAGCAATTAGAAAATGAAAATAAAAATTCAGAGATCCAAGAACAAAGTATTTATAGAAGTCTGTCCACATTGTACACAAAATTAAGCATGCTAAAGTTTTACAATTGTCATGCTGCACAATGTTTTGTTTGTTTTTTTTTTTTTGCAAACACATTGTTCTTAAAATTCATTAGACTTTGATTACTTAATTGAGTACTTTGCACTGGCTAGGTGGGCTTTAAAAATATATAGCAGTACCCAGACTGATGCTTCTTTTTTTCCCCTCCCTCATTTCCTTTTTTCTCCTGTAGAGAGAATCACAGTGAGATTGAAAGGCGTAGGAGAAACAAGATGACCCAGTACATCACAGAGCTGTCGGACATGGTTCCCACATGCAGTGCTCTGGCTCGAAAACCAGATAAGTTAACCATTCTGCGCATGGCAGTCTCACACATGAAGTCCATGAGGGGGACAGGAAACAAATCAACTGACGGAGCCTATAAGCCTTCATTTTTAACAGAGCAGGTAACACTACCCCCTCCCCCATTGATTTATCATCTTTTTTTTTTTTCAAGTAATTCTCATATGTTGGAGCAACAAAAAGAAAGAATGACATCGAGACAATGCTCCTGAGCCCTTGGCAAATGTCCATAGTTGTGGGGAGAGGATGGGGGAGAGGTGATGCAAGGTGTAAGAAGAAGATGATCCATAGAAAAACATAAAAGAAAAGGTAAAAGAGACGGGAGGAGAACCAGGATGGAGTAATAATATAAAAACCCAAGGGAGGAGAGAATTTAAGAAGACAGGTTATTTAACAGTTTCAAAGACTACTGAAAAATCATTAAAAATCAGAACTGAGAAAAGGTCATATCATGGGATTTGACATTTAGGGGGTAACCAGTAACTTTCTGAGGACCAGTTACCAGGGTTCAAGCCAGATTAGAGGAGCTTATGGATGTTGTGGGTTTATAACATATATGAATTATTATACTTCATGTAGGCACAGTATTTTTAGTACTAGACATTTAACATTAGATGTTATAAATAAACATCTTTATTCTTTGACTTGATCAGTACGATAAAGACAATCTCTGTGAACTTCTGGCAGACAGAAGCTTTGTGTTCTGTATATAGTCTAGCACATTAAAGCATTCAATAAATAATGAACATTTTAATAAATATTTAAGGAGTAATTTGATTCTTTTCTTGGGCAGCATTTTTAGTTTCTCCCAGTTGATTAGCTTTTGTATTCAAACATACTCAAGTCTCTACTATCTTTAAAAAAAAAAAAAACAAACAGCAACACCCTAAAGAGTTTTATGTGACTTTGTTGTCATTTAGTGGTTTCAGCCATATCCAATTCTTCATGACCCCTTTATGGGATTTTCTTGGCAAAGATACTGGTGTGATTTGCCATTTCCTGCTCCAGCTCATTTTACATATGAGGAAATTGAGGCAGACAGGGTTAAGTGACTTGCCCATGGTCACACAGCTGGTAAGTGTCTGAAGCTGGAATTGAACTCAGGTCTTCCTAACTCTGGTGCTCTATCCATTGAGCCACCTTGCTGCCTTCATGTGACTCTACCAACCCTTTAATTGCTCACCTACTTCTGACAGCTTCACTTCCAAATACCTCAAAGTGATCTAGCCCTCCATTTTTTTCCCATCTAGTGTAATGGAAGGAACTTTGGACCAGGAAGCAAAGGACTTGGTCATCAATTCTCATTCTGATACTTAATAACAGGTGACTTATTAGTAAGCCGCCTTTCCTTTTGGGGCCTCAGTTTTCCTTCTGTAAAATAAGAGGGCTGGACTATTATCTGTCTTCCAATTCTCAATCCTATGGTTCTGTTCCTTTTTTTTAACCTCTCTAACATCTGTCTTAGAATTTTGTTTAAACTACCAGACTTCTCAAACTAGTAATTTAATGATTCATAGACACAGTCAAACTGCAGTTATTTAATGAAGAGTTTAACTTCACGTTAGTGGGGAAAACTATAATATGTATCTTTTGCATGTTGAATTTAAAGTGAAGATGGTTCACATGAGTAGAAATGCTATAGTGGAAAGAACACTGGACTAGGAGACAGGAGCCCTTGTTTCGAGTCCCTTTTTATGTGTCTACTTAGCTAAGTGACTTTGGGTGAGTCACTTAAACGTTCCTACCTTTCTGTTTCCTTATCTGTAGTATTAGGTGTATTCAGAATAGATTGTTTCCAGTGTTCATTTTAGCTTTTAAAAATCCACACTTCTGTTGTCCTTTTTAATTGTTTATTTAAATGTGTATTGTTAATGATCTTTTCCCATGTTGAAGTTCCAAAACTAAAACCCAAGGAAGTTAATTGATGAAATTCGTAAGACACAGACTTACCTAAAGTCATTGAGCTGGTCTGTGGTGGAGCTGGTCCGGACCCAGGTCTCCTGACTTTAGCTCTTTGATCTATATGACCATGCTTTTGGGATGGGCTTTGGGAACCACACATAATACAGTGAAGATCCAAAAGAATCTTGATGGGCTAGAATGTGAGATCAACCCTAATAAAATGAAATTTAATGAAGGAAAATGTAACATCTTACTCTCAGGCTCAAAGAAATCAAATTCACAAGTGCAAGATGAGGGAGTTATGGCCAGGTAGCAATTTGTATTAAAAGAAATCTTGATGCTGTAGTGGACTGCGTGCTCAATGTGAGTCAACGGTGTGATTTAAGACAGCTAATCCATTTTAGGCTGCATTAAGAGAGGAATTATGCCCAGGATTAGGGAAGTAATAATCCCTCTTATCAAACCACATTTGGGATATTGTGTTAATCTAGGCACCACATTTTAGAAAGGATGTTAATGCATTGGAGAGTGTGTGTGTCTGTATGTATACATATATATGCACATGTATTTATACACATACACATACGCCTATAGGCATACACATATTATACACATATTAAACATATGTATGCACATATATTACGTAGTACATCACATTAATTTATATTTTGTTATGCTCTGCTATGTTGTATAACCTTATTTTATATTATATATTTATGTTAGCATTTTTATATCACTTTAAGGTTTGCAAAGAGCTTTACAAATATTGTATCATTTTTATCCTCACAACAACCCTGGGAGATAGATGCTATTATTCTCATTTTATAACTGAGGAAACTGAAGCATAAAGAGGTTAAATGACTTGCCCAGGGTCACACAGCTAAATAAGTGTCTGAGGCTGGATTTGAACGCTGATCTTCCTCACTCTGTATCCAGCACTTTGCACCATGCCACTTAGTTGCCAATATGAGGATTTGTTGAAGGAATTCCATTTTTTTATTTTTATTTTTTTTTAAGGTGGAGCAAAGAAGACATAGAAAGGGCTGATTGTATTCAACTATTTGAAGGGCTAGGTAATGGAAGAGAGATTAGATTTATTCTACTTGATTTCAAAGAATAGGACTAGATGCAATGCTTAGAAGTTCTCTAGTAGATGATTTAGGTTTTATATAAGGAAATATTTCCTCACAATTGGATCCATCTAGAAATAGAACGAGCTGCCAAAGGAAATAATGGGTTTCCCTTACTAAAGACCTTCAAGCAATGGCTAAATGACCACTTGTCAGGCCTGTTGTACTCTTTGTCAGCTATAAATTGAACTAGGTGGCCTCTGAAATCTCTCATAAGCTTCTGTGATTCTGATTTATGGACCTAAAGCTTGTATCTATGGGAGAGGATTATTTGAAATCTGAAATACTCTGAATATAGTCTGAAATGAATATAGACTCTGAAATAGTCTGAAATACTTTTTGATTGGTAGATTGTTGAGTCAAGTAAAAGATATAAAAAGTAATGATGAAATGGGACCCTTTCCTCAAAAAGCTTATAAAACCCCCCTTTTATGGAGGACCTCATGGTTAAACCTAGTCATTAAAGTGTTCTGGCTTTAAATATTTCTCCCTGTGAGGTTTGCAGCTACACCAGACATGCATGTCTCTGACCTCTATTTCTTGAATAACTGATAACTAGACAGTTCCTCAAAAGAACATCTAACATCTATGTTGCCTCTTACATATCAATTGGCCTATCTTTGTTTCTGTCTTTGATACAAGTTGTAAAGTATAGCTAGATGCCTATTTGTTAAAATAATGATTGTCTTTACAGAGTAGCATTTTTTGAATCATACTGCATATTCCTATTGAGCTGGAACCAGTTACCGTATTTTACATAATTATAACTTCAATTAGTGCAAGTTTGAATACATGCCACCACTTCACAGTGATTCATTATACTCACTAACCTGGACCTGGCAGAAAATCTGTAAGCGATACTTTATATATTGTAGGCAATCAAATAAATACATTTGAATTAAATTGCCAGCCTAATCACTTTGAAGCTCTTAATCACATTCCTGATATAATATCTATCTATATATAGAAAAACTAGTCAGGTTCATGTGCATATACATTGTCTGACCTTCTTAGACCAAGTGGCAATAACTTTCTTACCTTGCATTAGGAAGGAAGCTGCACCTCATTCCTCTGCTGTTTAGACAGTATAAATTGGTTTCAGTAAAAGTGATTTAGTGTCATTCAACCCTCTGTAGGATGATGTGTGGCATTCTGCAACTATAATTGATTCCACACAGCTTCCTGCTTTCAGCTAAAAATAGTTTTACTACTAAGACCTAAGAGGCATTTTAGGGTGTGTATTCCATTTCTCCAGGCTTTATCTATATGAGGCATTGTGGTATAGTGGTAATAGGAGCTCTGGACTCAAAAATTAGAAAAGGCAATAGTCCTGGCTCTTCTGCCTGCCTGCCGAGTGAACTGGGAGTGACCTTCCCAGTCCTTCAGTTTCTCACACATAAATTGGGGGCCATATGACCTACTGTACTTATCTTATAAGATTATTGTGAAAAATCAAATGAATCTTGGAATGGCCACACTGGAAGAGAACTTAGAGGTCATTGAATCCAGTCAGTCCTCTCATTTTAATTTTTTTTGATAGGCAGTCAAGGTTAAGGGACTTGCCCAAGTCACACTGCTAGTGAATGTCAAGTGCCTGAAGCTGGATTTGAACTCACATCCTCCTGATTCCAGGGTCGGTACTCTATCCACTGTGCCACCTAGCTGCCCTAGTCCTCTCATTTTATAACCAGGAGAAACAGAATTCAGAGAGGGGAGGTGACTTGTCCCAGTCTCTACAGTGAGTTAGTGGCAAAGCCAAGACTGGGATCTCAGGATCAAAAATTTAGAGGTAGAAAGGATCTGAGAAAGTCATCATGTCCAAACATGTCATTTCCCAGATAGGGAAACAGAGGCCGAAGTCCTCCTGACTCCAACTCCTATCCTCTACCCCCTCTGCTACGCTGCCTCTCAATGGATTAGAAAGCTTTTGATTCTCAGAACGGCCCCACTTTTGCTGCAGGACAGAGATAATAATTGTGAATAGGGGCCTCGTGAAATTAAAAAACTCCACACAATCACAGGGGATTGTTCTTAAATTATTGTTGTTGTTGTTGTATTATTATGAGGACAAAGATTCAGCCTGGGAAGAACAGGAAAAGGATACAAAATGAAGGTGCAAACCATAGTGAGAAGCTGCGTGACCAGCAGTTGGCAGGCAGATGTACATATGGGCCTTCCTTCTTCCATTGCTCTTGGCATATGCTGTTCTTGTAACACTGATACTATATGAATATTCACAAAAAGATAGTGTTGCTCCTATGAACAGGATCAGTACTAGTAGCAGTCATCTACTAGGTGTATGAGCCCAGTCCATACCAGTCAGTCAATAGTAAGTCAATAAGCATTTCTTAAGGACCTACTTTGTGCCAGGCACTGTGCTAATTGTGTCCCAAGTTCCTGAGTTTAACTTTGCCAAAAAGGGAGCGTGGGAACAAATCTCTGGTCTCCTTTTCTAAACAAATTGAGTGCTGTGTGTTATAAGTCATCCATCTATTGGAATGTTTCCACAAATAAGGTGGCTATAACATAACCACCAGACAATCAAAGACAGTGAGAAAAGTGAACTTGCATTTGTGTTTGCTTTTTTAAATTTCCTAATTGTGATCTCTTCTTCCAAGGAACTAAAACATCTCATTCTCGAGGCTGCTGATGGATTTCTGTTTGTAGTTGCTGCTGAAACTGGAAGAGTTATCTATGTGTCCGACTCAGTCACGCCAGTTCTGAACCAACCCCAGTCTGAGTGGTTTGGTAGCACCCTCTATGAACAGGTTCATCCAGATGATGTGGAAAAACTGAGAGAACAGCTGTGCACGTCTGAAAACTCAATGACAGGTCAGTGATGTCTGCAGTGTTTTGTTTTTTAATATAATTCCCTCCATATGAGGCTTATTTTGTCATTCAGAACTAGTTACAAGGAAGGACAGAGTAACTCAAAACTGCTTGTCGCTTAAGGACTGAGTTAGATTGGATGCTTTGCCATCACTTGGGTTTGTGAAATTCCATACTCGGTAGATTACTTTCCCACTCCACACTTCTAGGGATTTTCTTCTGAACACTGACATCAGTTGGTGGTAGAATTGTAGTAATGGCCACCTAGTATGAAGTAAAAGATCATAGTGTCATGGATTCAGAGTGAGAGGGAACCTTAAAGGTCATGGTGTCCAAACCCTTCATTTTGCAGGTGAATAAACTGTGGCACGGAGTAGTTAAGTAACTTGTCCAATGTCATGCAGCTAGTAAATAGGTAGAATTCAAACTTGGGTCTTCCTAATTCCATATCTAGTGCTCTATCCACTAGGCTAATTAGCTGCCTTTTTTATGTAGGAAGTTCATAGTTTATCTGTGATGTAGATCATAGCAATGCCATATTCAGGGCTTAGTTGCAGGAATATATAAAAGTAGAACATCGTAGTAAATATTAAATAGCAAAATAGTAACACTATATGTCAGGTTTCTTAAGGAGACAAATATGAATAATTGATACCTTTCTCACTAATCTTTAACAGTTATAACTTTATCTCACTCTAGGCTTACCCTGAGACTTAAAGAATTATTTCCATTGCTTATTCCCCTCTTTCAAAGACTGCTTCTGAAGCAATTTCCAATAGATTTTGTGAAAGCATCTCTTTTCTCTTTTTTTGTGAAATAGTCAAAGGAAAAGAGAGACAGTGTTTCTATCTCTTGGGAATGTTTTCACTAATTGGAAATTTTCACTTCTAGCTTTCTTTTGACTTCCTTTTTCTGAGAAGCTACTTGTATTTTCACTCTGTCTTCCTGTCAATACTTCATTTGTGACTTTCTGGCCTTCATCTGAGGTCTATTCCTAGCACCTAGCTCAGAAAAAAAAACAAAACAACTTTGGAGAGTTACTCAGAAATAATTTCCAAAAGAACTGGTATTCCAAATGGAGGTAGAGGAAGATACATTTAAACTTTTTTTTCATGTATTTTTGTGAAAGTGGTTTAAGAACAAGTTGACATGGTATATAACAAAGAGAGAATATAGGTAGCATCATGTAGTATTTATCCTTTCTTCTAGGTGGTGACTGCCATTAAAATATTTATTTTGTTCTACTCTGTGTTCATAATGTGCACTAATGTCTAATTTTTCATTTTAACTCAAATGTCTGTGTTGCCCTCATTTCTGCATTGTCTAACTTAGCTTTCATTGTGACCCATGTGTCCCCATTCCAGGCTGTTATCTTGTAGTGTGATCCCACTTTGGACTTCTCTTTCCAAACAGAATTGGAGAGTTGAGGCAATATTCTGGGTTATTGCAATAAAAAAGTTCAGCTACTAAAGATAAAAGGACGTTTGAGGCTTTTCCCAATAGAATATTTCCATTACTAATCAGCTGGTCGTTTCTCTATTGTCTTTTAATGTTACAGACTTAGACGTATTTTTCTCATTTTCCTTATTAACAATAACAACAGACATTAAATATAGCTTTAAGGTTTTACAAACAACTTTACATATGTTGTCTCATTTGATCCTCTCCACAATAACTTGGTAAGGTAATTGCTGTAGGAGTTATCCCCATTTTATAGATAAGGAAATAGAGGCTTAGAGAAATTTAAGTGATTTGCCCAATGTCATACAGCTAGTAAGTTAAGGTGGAATTAGAACTCGAATTTTCCTAACTTTAAGTTCAGCACTCTATCCACTATACCACACTGCCTTTAAAAATAATAACAATAATTAATAATTATAGATAATAAATATATTGTTTTATATATAATTATATGTTAGATTATAATAATCATGCATGGCATTTGTACATCACTTTGTAGTTTACAAAGCACATTAAACTATTGAATCAGATTGCTATTAATGCTTTGACTAGTAGAACTTTGTTTTTGTGGCATTTACAAAAATAGATCAGACTATCAGAGTGTTATGTCAGTTTCAAAACAGGGCAAAACCAGATTCCTTCATTGTGATACTTCTTCTGGTTGGGTGAATCCATGTTTCTTCTCTAGGAAATAGCTATCCTTGGTTACTTCATATTAATATAATTTTGATTCCTTGTAAGAAAGAAGTTAAAAATCTGTGTATCTTCATCTTAGGATCCTGCTATAACTTTTTATTAGGGGCAGCAATGTGTCATAGTAATTAGAGCACCCAGCCTGGAGTCAGGAAAACCTGAGTTCAAAGTGGGCCTCAGACATTTACTAGCTGTGTGACCCTGGACCCTATTTGCCTCAGTTTACTCATCTGTAAAATGAGTTGGAGAAAGAAATGGCAAACCACTCCAGTATCACTGCCAAGAAAACCCCCAGTGGGGTCCCAAAGATTCAGACACAACTGAACAACAACATAGCTTTTTATTAAGGAGATACAGCTTACATCACCTCACTTTAATGATCTTTAGTGTCATTTGAACCTTACAAGGCTATATCTTACAGTGGTTTTTAAAGCAACTGCTTATATTAAACTGGCTACATAATGCCTCTCAGTCAGTCAGTAAGCATTTATTAAGCTCCTACTAAGTGCCAGGCACTATGCTAAACACTGGGGATAACAAAGAAAGGAAGATGACAGTTCATGCTCTCAAGAAACTCATGGTCTGATGGGGAAACAACAGGATAAATTGGAGATAATCAACAGCAGGAAAGTGTTAATCTCTGCCTTCAGACTCTAAAGCTAAAAAAATATACCTTTTCCCCATCCCCATGATTAAAGACACTGGCAAATCAGAGAGTGACCAGATCGTAGTCATTAACACTTGTGGAATTTTTGGAAGCTCTCAGATGAGAGCAATAGGATTGAATGAACTAGGTATACCTACCCAGGAAGATATAATTAGAGAAGGCACAGTAACTATCTTCAGATACTTAGGAGGGAAATAAGATGTCGGAGGAGGTAGACATTCTCTTGTTCCAAAGTAGAAGACTTAGATGAATGGGAAGAAGTTACTTGGAGGCAGCTCAGCTCGTAATTCAAATTGTCCAGCAATGAAGTGAGCAGCCTCCTGAGGTGGTAAATTCTCTGTCCCAAGGAATGTTCAAGGGGAGATTTCGTGGACACCTCTTCTGGATGCTCCAGAAAGAAATTGGGAAGTTGGTCTAGATCAGTGCATTCAAATTCAAAAATAGAAACAAGGGTCACTAAACTGTACATGAGGATCCCTGTGGGCTACATATTGACTTAGAAAGCCATGCATGTTTATATGTTAATATTGTTATTATTAACTACTATATTATTATAATATCATTATGGTATTACTAATTAATATACTATTAATTTATTAATACTAATTTGTATATTACTACATCAACACATTAAAATCAGATAGGAACTACATCTTAATGTAGTTTGGGTCACACTCAAGAGAGTTGTGACCACATGTTTGTTACTGCTGGTCCAGGTGATTTCTGAAGTTTTTTTGAACTCCATATTTTGTGATTCTGTAAAACTATGTTAAGTCTTAGAAAAGTTTAAAAAGTGATATACAATTATAGGACATTTATTATTGAGAGCAGGGATACTAATGAAATGTTATCCTCCAGGTAAGATCTTTAGGAAGGTGAAGATGGCATAACATTTACATTGAACCCTTCAACTTAGTTCAGTTTATTTTGTAGCTATCAAATAAACTGTATGGATTACCATAAACTGCATAGATACCAGCTGCTTATTATTCCTTGAACCCAGCCCAGAAAATCTGTGAATTTGTGACTGTTTTAACACAATAAGAATAGTTATAATGAAGTGTTATTACTTTACTCTGTACATAAACACCAATTTCTCTGTAATAACACTTTGAGTTGATAACACATTTAAAAAAATGTTTGAAAACATGTGTCATTGTTTCAGGTGCTAGCACAGTTCAGGAAGTGCCATCCAGGAAGTGTGTGTGTGTATGGCAGTGGAGCCATGTAAAGTACAGGGCATCAATGATCAGCTGGTGATACCACCAGTTTCTAGGCAACCTCTCCCACTCATCTTTTCCTCTTTTAACTAAGTTGAGGCTATCAGAATAACTCTTACAAAACCGATAGGCCAGGTTTCTTTACTGGCTACCTGGTGTCATTTATCTCCTGTCCTGCCTTCACACCCCACCATACCGATAGAAGATCTTTTTTCACCTCACTTTGCTATCCCATAAAGTAGTCTTCCACGAAAATATGAGTACTGTTCACAGTATACACAAATAGGTATATATACTGATATATTGTACATATATAAATACTTAGCTGAGTCTTGACTCATATGTGCATATCCTTACCTGAAAAAGTCTCAGTCCACCTTAATAGAAGTGATTGAAAAAAGTCATATAGCACTCCTGAAAGTTTCTAGAGAGTAAAATGGATCAGAATCACCATAGTAGAATATTTTCCTAGATGTCTTCCCCTGAATACTTGGATTCCTTAAGTGACACTTGTGTTGTAAATCATCATCATTATAGACAAGTATTCATTATGTATTTACTACTAGATATATAGTATTATGCTAAGGGCTATATACGTGTGTGTATACATATATGTATGTGTGTATGCATGTGTGTATAGCAATTCCCCAATAGATAAGTGATAAAATGATATGAAGAAAAGGGTCTCAAAAGAATTGCAAACCATTAGCAACAGTATGAAAGAATGCTCCAAATCACTAATAATAGGAGATGAAAATCAAAACAACCCAGAGGTTTTACTTCATCCCCAAAAAAATGGCAAAGAAGAAAAATGATGGGCATAGTTAATGTTGAAAGAGTTATGGAAGAATAGACACACTAGCACATTGTTGGTAGATCTGTGAATCAGTGTGATGAATGCAATTTGGAATTATGCAAATAAAGTGACTAAAATGACCCAGTGATTCTACTCCCTGGTTTAT